AGGACAAAAAGCAGCTCCTCCATTGAGTACACATTCCCACCCAATACACCGGGTCTGCAGACCTTGGTTGCATGCCTTTAGGGACATGGAACTCACTTCTCCACAGACTGGACAGAGATTTCTCTCTCTCTGGAATCTATTTCTCACCGGGTCTGCTCTCTGGACCTAACAATGCCATATCACTTTGTCAGGGACCTGAAATCCTGACCAGGTCCCTGAGTCTTCTCCAAGGGACATGGGCTCCTCTTCCTGATGAGGCGCCTCTAAGCAGATTCCATCTTCTGGTGACTGGGCATGATTCTCTGTAAGTGGCTGGACCATCTCAAAAGCTAGAGCAGCTGGTCCCAGCTGGCACCAGGACCTCTGGGCCCCCAGATGATTTGCACAACTGCACCCTGAGCAGCTGGTCCTTGGAGCTACTCACAGGACCCACCCACCCCCCATAATCTGGTAACCCTCTTGTCTACTTTGCTGTCATAAAGCGAGCAGAGGACTTTGAACAGGGGACCCTGCCTCCCTAATTGACCCCCTTACAGGGTGGATCTACCTGCAAGACTCTGTCCTAGTCTCTGACAAACACGTTGTTCCAGGCAGGACCAGGGACCAGCACTGCGGACGCTATGAGAATCCTGGCAGGGTCGCCAGTCCCACCTCCTCTTGGATGTGGCTGTTTAATGAACCACTGAGCACCTGGCCTTTTTTTCTATCTTATCCACGAGAATGTCATGAGGTCTCCTGGCTGGAGCCCCTGTCATCTTTGATGGGTAGTTACCTGAGCAAGACCAGGGGGTGAACTCAGAGGCTTGCCACCGTCTTTTCTAGCGTTCTGTGTAGCATTTCTAAAATGTCTTATTAGAAGGCATGTGAAACTTACTAGTTTAAGCCCAAATGAGCTTTTTAGCTCCTTTCTGAAAGCAGGGGCAGGGTGCTAAGATTTATAAATGCCCGTTATTGACGGCCATCATTCCTCTGAATCTTCATCTCAGCTTTGTGTGGGAGGATTAGGGTGGGTTCGTTCAAGATGAGGGAACAGAGCCCAGGGAAGGGAAAGACCGCACGCAGGGCCCAACAGCCAGCAAGGGGAAGGGCTGGGACTCAAACCAGGATGGCCTGACCCCTCCTCCGGCCTTTCCTAAATGCTGCTACCAGTCCTCAGCACCTGTCCTGTCCCTGGGAGCAGTCTTATCTCCTGACACCTGAGGGTGAGGCCCAATCTGCCCCTCCCTGTGTGCCATGTACAGGACGGGGGAACAGAATGGGGTCTCGGGGAAGGAAGATGCCCCCCCCAGGGGACGTGAGACTCAACCAGGAGGGGTAGGCGGCTCCATGGGCGGCTCATCTGCTTGGTATTTTTTAATAGTTATTTTTAATTTGGTGGGGGGGTGGGTCTGGTTGTAAAAGCAGCACTGTCTGTGGTTGGAGATCCAAGAGTCATCCTTGATTCCTCTCTAGCACCCAGCTCTTGGGGAGTAGCTTAGCCTCCACTGAGAAGCTCCGGAGAACGTAAACGTGGAGGAAACATCACCACACGTCCCTGGTTAAAACCCTTCAGTGACTTTTCATGGTGCTTGGGATATAAGATCCCCAACCCTCACCTTGGCCCTTAGGATCCCAGCCTCCCTCACGCCTCAGTTCCACCACGTACCTGCAAAGGCAAACTCTTCAGGAGTCTCTGATCGTCTGGCTAGAGGGTCCCCCAGCCCCACCACAAGTGTTCTTTCACCTCACCAGGTTCTTATGGTCTTCATTGCGCTGGTCACTCTTTGGAATTATTTATGATTTGCTTCTCATTCTGTATCCCTTGACCTCATAACAATATCAAATAAGTGTGTTTTGCACCCCAGTGAAACCCCAGCACCTCTAGTACACATACCTACATTTAGCAGGTGCTCAGAAGAGTTTTGTGAATGAATGAAAAAGTTACACAGAAACTGAGCACCGTGGCGCACGCCTGTAATCCCAGCGGCTCAGGAGGCTGAGGCAGGAAGATTGCAAGTTCAAAGCCAGCCTCAGCAACTTAGCAAGGCCGTAAGCAATTCAGCGAGACCCTCTCTCTAAATAAAATACAAAATAGGGCTGGGGATGTGGCTCAGTGGTTAAGTGCCCCTGAGTTCAATCCCCAGTACCAAAAAAAAAAAAAAAAAAAAAAAGTAACAGAGAAACCTGTAAAGGAGAAACAGGAGATGATGCAATTGTGGTTACTGGAGCAGTTAATGATATAACAATTGTGTGCATGTAGTGTGCGCATAAGCCGGAAGTCACCTGCCTTTTAAATGACAGGTTTGGGATGCTTGGGCCGGAAGCACCACAGCTGTGGGAGACACACGTGCATGAACACATGCCTGGTTCCTTCCATAGCCATGTGACCTCGGGTGAGGTCTTTCAGCTTTGGGGCCTCAGTTGCTCACCTGTGGATGGAGGCTGCCTGCCTGGAGGCAGGAGCCTGGATGCCACAGATGCCACGGTCTCCTGAGGTCAGCCTTTGCCTGTGGCTGAAGTCCTGCGGGCAGCAGGGCCCAGAGCCTGCCTGCAGGGGCTGGAGGTGTTGATTGAAGTCTATCTCCACACAGGGCTGCTCCCTGCTGTCCTCTGAGGTGAGGATCTCACCCAGGAAGGAGAGCGTGGTTCCAGCTCAGGAAATTGGTGGAAAAACCAGAGACTAGCTTTGCTGCTGGAGAGTGGCTCATGCTCACAGTCAAGGTCTCTTGGATGCATCAGTAGCTTTGATTTGATAAGTTTTAATTTTGTGTATGTGTGTCCTTGTTTTTTTCAAAGACTTCCCTTTGATGTAGTTATTTCTTCAGCTTTTTTCTTTCAATTGCTATAAAAAAATTTTCCATGAAATAAAAGAAAAATAACCCAGCACATTCCTGTTTCCACCACTCCAAGGCAACGGCTGCTCCCTCCGGGGCCCCTGCGCTTTTCCTGGGAAGACAGTAATGGAATGTGGCAGAATGTTCGGGAGGTAGATGCGGCTCTTGACCTCAGGGACTTCATCCCTCTGTGCCTCAGTTTCCTCATCCAGATGATAAAGGGAAGAATAATTGCTCTTCGTACGGCCACTGCAGGAGTTAGCATTTGTAAGGCGCCTAGAGGGTGCCTGGCCCTTAGCAAGTGCCCTGTATTCGCTTCTTAGGTAAGACGTGGAAATAAACAGAAAGGCCAGGGTACCTCAAAACCGCCAGGGCAGGACGGGCCAGCTGTGGAAGTCTGTTAGAGTCAGAAACCCAGGCTCCAGTCCCAACTCTGCTCACACCCCCCTGTGACCGGAGCTTCTTCAGGTCACATGGCTTCTCTAGGCCTCGGCTCTCCCCTGAGAAATGGAGTGTGCCATACTACAGCCACATGGGTGGGGATGACGGTGTGAGTGAGTGCAGCAAGCGGAGCCCCTGCCCCCTGCACCTCAGCCCACCTTCACCCATTTTCTCAGTTTCCTGCTCAATGTAGTTAGGGGAACACGGCTCTGCACCCCAACAGCACCTCTTTATCATTTCTAATGGCTGAGTAATAGTCTTTTGGGGTTTCTTTTTTTGGTACTGGGGATTGAACCCAGGGGTGCTTAACCACTGAGCCACATCCCCAGCCCCTTTTAAATATTTTATTTAGAGACAGGGTCTCACTAAGTTGCTTAGGGCCTCGATAAATTGCTGAGGCTGGCTTTGAACTCATGATCCTCCTGTCTCAGCCTCCTGAGCCGCTGGGATTACAGGCAGGTGCCACCACACCCGCTTGAGTAATATATTCTTTAGAGGAGAGGGTCGTGATTCCCTTGTCCCCTCCAGTGTGGGATGTGTACGCAGGCTCCAGCGTCACTCTGTTATATAACCCTGCAGTGAACAGGTGTCTTTCCCTCTGGGGACAATTTCCCCAGTCAATCTCAGGGACTTTCACTGAGTGCAGGCCAGGGGCAGCAGCTGGGAGAAGTAGGTTCCGTCAAGAGTTGCCTGACACCCTTCCCCAGGGGCAGCAGTGTGGGGATCAGGGCAGCGGGGTTGGCGCCATGGAGGGTGAGGTGGGAGTCGGAGGAACCAGGTTCTGCATCTGCCTCTGCCACCATCCTGTGGGCAACTGTGGGAAAGTCCCCTCTGATCTCTGGATCTCAGTTTTCTGTGTACTGTGGCTAGGAAGGGCACGAGGGTTGGCCGGAGCTATGTTGTCCAGTGCGTAGCCACAGGCCACATGTGGCTATTGAAATTAAAATGTAAATTAACACAAGGAAAGAAAAACTCGATCAGTCACACACAGCATTTCAATACGAGCCCACGGCTGGTGGCGACCGTGGGGGACAGAGAGCACAGGTACAGAACACCCACCGGGGGGCTGGGCTGGAGCGGTTCCCGGGGTCCACTCAGCCCTGATGTGCTGTGGTTCTGGATCCCCCTCCTTGTCCCGTTGTGTGGAGCCACCCGGAGCTCGGGGTGCGAATCGAGGCCTAAGGAGTTGGTGGGACCTGGAGGGACCTGGGGAGGGGTGACTTCCCAAGGCCAGGCCACTGGAAGGGTGGTGTGAAATCACCACGCCCATCTCCCTCCCAGAGGCCCACGGTGGCCTGGAAGAGAGGCTGGGAAGAGGACGGGGTCCAGAGGGTGGCCCCCAGCCCACAATGGGCCCAGGGACCTGGTGCAAAGGCAGAGTCTGTGGCCCCTGGTCCCCAAGTGCAAGGGCACTTGGACACGCAGGACTCACTGTCCATGCCAGAAGCACAGCCCTCGTTCCCCAGGCGGAGGGCCGTCACCATTAGAAGTCCAGACTAGGGACCACAGGGGGCTGCCTTGGTCTTCAGGGCCGCTCTGGCTGCCTCCGCCCTGGGCTGAGTCCGGCCTCTGCAGAGGCTGCCCCGCAGCCTGGAGGGACCTGGGGAGGGGGACTAAGATGCCAGGGCGAGGAACAGATGATGGACTCGCCCGAAGTGTGGCCCCATCCGCCGACTCCCTGGGCCCATGAGCCCCTTGTCCTTCACGGGGACTCCACTGCTCAATCTTGCGTCCCCTCTTCTCTAGGACCCTGTGGCCATGTCCTGGCTGCCTTGAGCCTGTGGACTACACGGCCTCCTGCCCACGTCTCCAGCCCAGACCAGCTCCTGAGCCTGCTCTTCTCCCCACCCTCCTCAAGCTTCAGGACAGCAGAGAACAGCAGCAGTCACGGTAGGTGACCTTCCCAGGCTACCCACTCCCTGGCTTGAAGGAATACCTATGCTTGATGGTCCCTAGAAGAGGGACCTTTCTAAACACTATCTGTCAGAATCCCTTAGGTTGTAAATAGCAAAAATAAAAACAAAACAAAAACAACCTATTTTAATAAAATAAAATTATCAGCTCATGTAACCAAAATGATAGGCTGGGCTTCAGGCAGGGCTTGATCCAGTGGTTCATGTGAACAGGATCTGGTTTCTGCCTACATTCCTTCATGCCGTTTCCTTGGTGATGGCTGATCCTAGTGACATTTGACGTGATATGGTGGAAAGATGTTGTTTCTGGGGCAGTGTGCTTCTAGGTTTAAATCTGGGGTTGAGGGTGAAGGAAAAAAAAAATCTGCTTCCATGCTAGAACAGATAAAAGTCTAATGGTAGATGTCTTTGGACTTACTGGCCGTATTTGGATTATCCTGAACCTTTAACTGTGTCCACAAGGCTGGGTCTGGGGTCACGGTCTACTGACCTTCCCTAACCATGCGATCAGTAAGGAAGAAAGAATGTTTCCAAGGATGTCAGAAGGACTTTTAGGGACCTTCTGACAGGAGAAGGGAGACCTCTTTCCAACTTGGAGAGACAAATAACAAATGATCATGATAGATGGAGTCTGCCCAGGTTGGACAGCTTGCGCCAGTCCTAGATACATATGAACCTGCTGTGTATGCTTAGACAAATTCCTATGCCTCTCTGAGCTTCCGTTTCCTTACCTGATAATGTCCTTAACTAGCAGGGGTGCTATGGGAACTACCAGAGGTGATGTATGAAAACACCAGCTTCTAGCAGAGACTTAGTGAGTCCTTCTTCCCCCTTCCTACCTCTGTCCCCAGGGAGTTTGGGACATCTCTATTTTCTTCAAATTTAGAAGGTGCTGCCTAGGAAATGTTATTGGTCAGAACCCTTAAGAGCAGAGCCCGAGACAAGGATTTGTGTGTTGTGTGAGGTTTATTGAGGGCAGGGTCTCAGGGAAAGTCCAGCCTTGGGCCTTGGAGCAAAATTCACACCCGAGAGCCCAGAGAAGGGGCTCTCGCACCTGTACCAGCAGGGCACGGGCTGTGGGCCACTGGGGGGTCCCTGCGTGGCTCAGCTGAGGAAGCCCCGTTTGTGGAGGGCCATTCTCCAAGGCGAGGGGAACTGTGAGCTGCGAGGCTCCACATCCAGCCCCTGGGGAGGGGTGTTCTGGCTGTCCAGGGATCTGTCCAGGCCACAAGATGGCGGAGCCCAAGATGGCGGAGCCTGTGTCCCCGGCCCGGCCAGTCTCCTGTCTCCTCACGTCTCCTTTTGCTCCTCCTGCCCCAGCCAGGGACGCCAGCACCTCCTGCCGTGGGGGCCTGGCTGGTGATGGGTGGGTCCTCAGCCCCTTCCCTGGGAGAAGACCTGTCCACCTGGGGCCTCTCTTCTCCCCTGTCCCCGCCCTTCTCCCCCCGTGGACCCTCTTCTCCACTAGCGCTCAGCCCTGAGGTTCCCCGACCTGTGATGCCTTTCCTGGCTCTCTACCCACCCTGTTTTTCTCTTTTGTAATGTTATGGTATTTCTTATACATTTAATTTTATTTATCTTTATGTGGCGCTGAGGATCGAACCCTGGGCCTCACTCATGCGAGGCGAGTGCTCTGCCACTGAGCCCCAGCCCCAGCCCCCATCCTGTCTTTCAAGGGCCACTTCAGGTCCCTTCTTTTCCAGGAAGCGCCTGCTCACTGTTCCAGCCAGTGGTCATCTCCCCTTCCAGGTAGGAAGACCACGGCTCAGTGTGCCTTTCCTCACAGAGATTCTACTGGTTCCTGCATCAGTGCCGAAGGGTGTTGCTCCTTTTGCCTTGACTGCTAGGAAGCTCGTAGACAGTTGGTGGTCCATCTCTGATAAGTGTTCAGGGTGCAGTTGCCCAATAATCTTTTCTCTTGTTTTGCCTTCCTTCTTCCAATGTTTTCCTTGTCCTGATTTCTGCTCTTCCTTTTTAGCTTGTGGTATAGTTCTCAGCAGCCTCAGAGTCTTTGGGAGGAGACAGGTCTAAATCACCAAGAGTGGTGGTGAACAAGACATTGACACCGACTGTAGCCAAATGTGAGGTCTTTGCCTTCCTGGGGCCAGCTGGGGTGGGGGTTCTCCCCGGGCCAGGGTGGGGCCTGTCTCCCAGGAGACACCAACGCCTGACCATGGTGGCCTGGTACAATGCCCACCCTGCCCTCCGTGGCTGGGAACCACACTGTTCCGCTCCCAGCCCTCTTCCCTCCTCCCTCCCCGTCTTATCAGAAGCTAATGAAAGAGGCTGGGAAACCCAATCCTCTGGTAATTAAATTTACTTAACGGGTATTCAAGTGGAGTAATGAGAAGTTTAATGCAGTGATTAGATTTTTCTTTAATTAATTAAAATGAGAGCCATGTGTCTTGCCAGCAAACCAACTTGACCCCATGCTTGAGAGCAGCCGGCAGAGGCAGTGGGCTGCTTGGCCAAGTGGGCGGCGGGTCAGGGCGACGCTGCCCCACCCTGGCGTCGCGTCCTCCGGAGTCAGCCTGGCTCTGATGTCCACTCAGGCCAGCCAGCTCCTGTTTCTGAGCCTCACAAGCACCAGGGACTGTCACCCGGGGCCCAAGGATCCAGTCCCCGACTTTGCCAGACAGGAGGGTCAGCAAGGGGTGCGGGAAAGGAGGGGGAGGACTTCCGTCCCTGGCAGGAGGAGGTAGCTCAGGTGGCACATCTCAGTGCCACCAGCCAGCCGGCACCTTCGCCTGCAGGTTCCCCCAGGCCTGGGTCGGCCCTGATCATCTGGGCTCACAGAGGTGGGGGGTAAGGAAGAAATCTGAGACCACCCACAAAGTACGTCCCCCTCTGGGCTTGGAGATAGGTCCCCGGGAGGCTGGCCAGGCGCTGGTTCCTGGAGGCCCAGGGCAGGTGTGGAGAAGCACTTCCTCCTCCAGCTCCTCTGCTGTGGCCAGGCAGTGGCCAGGGCAGAGGGCAGCTGGGAATCCAGCAGAGCTTTCTGGAGGGGACACTCTTGGGTCAGTCAGGGTGAGGGCAGGCAGAGTAGGGACCCAGAAGACAGGACCTGGTCCCCCAGAGGGGACGGGTTACTTTCAAAGCAGCAGGTAAGCTGGGAGAGTCCTGGGCTTGCACAGTGTGGGCGGGAAACGTCCTTTGTTGAGCTTGACCCTGGCCCCACAGTGGGCCCTGATCCTGGACAGACTGGACCATGGTCCTGGTCCTAGGCTGAGCTCTGACCACACACTGGGCCAGCTGGGTGGGAGGAGTGGGTGGCCCTGGCTGACCATCCTGCCAGCTCTGCTGCCTGTGGGCAGGACTGCTGTGCCAGAGCCCACTCGGAAATGGCCAAGGCAAACCAGGCACGGTCCCTGCCCACAAGGCTGGTGGGGGAGGCCAAAAAAAAAAAAAAGTTACCAAATAAAACAGAGATAAGAGCACCAAGTGACCAGAGCTCAGGAGGGGGTGGCCCAGGGCACGGGTGGCCCGTGGATCTTCATTTAGAGCAGTCCTCCTCGGGAAGCAGGCGGGAGGTGGAGGTGCTGGAGGCTGAATCAGGGCCACTGAGGAGTGAGGAGGGTGGCACCTTGCAGGACTTGGTGGCCACCCTAGAACTGGCCATGACCCTCAGGTCATGATGAACCAAGGAACTTGTGAGTCAGGGGTGACCACATGCTGGACACTGGGCTGGTAAGGACACCGTTCAAGGGAGGCTCGTATGTCCGTTTCACACAGGAGGACACCGAGTGCAGCCCTGGTGGGTGCTGCTGGGCCTGAGGCAGCCAGGCGGGGCTGTTCCAGGCTGCACATGGTGTCCCGTGTCCCGTGTCCCCGGGGAGCTAGCTGAGAGCTGAGGTCTCGCTTCTTGCCCGTCCTTCTCCCCCACCTGGGTGGACACAGCCTGGGCCCTGGCAGGGTCCGGGGAGCCACTCAGAGGAGCCTGGCTGGTCAGACTGGCAGCCAGGGCTGTGGGTGGGGGTCTCCGGCTGCAGCTGGGGTCAGGGTGGGGGAAGTGAGGTGGGCCTTGGCGGGGCAGGGACTGGGCATGGGGCTGAGGGACTGACCCACGAGTGAAAGTCTTCTGCTTTCTTCCCTCGGACACCCCACACCCCTTCTCTCATTCCGAGGCTCAGCCCTTTCTGAAGACCTATCTGAAGCCACCCCAGCCGCCCCCCCTCCTCCCCCCCCCCCCCCCCCCCCCCCCCCCCCCCGCAGAGGAACTGAGGTCACAAGCTCCGCCTCTCATGTTGCGAGAAGGCAGAGGGCCTGGGATCGCATTGTCTGGAGTTGACTCTTCAGCACACGCGTTGTGTTATTTCCCAGGGACAGGGGACCTGGGGAGGCAGGAGCACTCTGTACTTAAGTGGGGTCCCCTGGGACCACCCTCCCTGGGTTCCAGGTGCTCTGAACCCCTGGCCTTGAAGCTGGGTCACATCCACAGGTGAGGTGGCCAGGCGCGGGAACTAGGCCAGGTCACACTGCTGACTGCAAAGTGGGGCTGCCCAGGTCCCCAGCTCCAGCCAGCCCCTCCGTGACGTGTTGGGTGGCCGGGCAGCTCCCCCCCCCTCTCTTCAAGGCCCCCCATCTTCCTCCCCCCCACCATCCCCTGCCACTTCCCACCTTGTCCTGTGCTCTGGACAAAACCAGTGACTCCCAGCACCCCCTCCAGCTGTCCCTGTCCCCTAGAGGGACTCTCCTCTTGTTCCCTCCACCCATGTGCCTTTAGCCTTTTAGTCTGCGTCCTGATGCCTCTGTGGACACCCTATCTGCCTGGGCCCCCCAGGGCCGCCCCCTCCTCTGGACCCCATCTGCAGCTTCCTGCCTGCCCCCTCTTAGATCCTGGCCTCTGTGCAGACTTGAGGTCAGGGGAGTATTTTTTGCCCCCCACTTCCTGGCCAGTCACTCCCAGGGCTTGACACACAGTAAGTGCTCAGGAGATAACTGGAGTCCTCTACAAACCGTCCCTTCCCTTGCCTGCTG